TCAGATAAATTAAGAAAAACAGTTATTATTAAATCAACTAAAAAGATTAGGGGGAAAATAGACATTCCTATTCCAACATTTATTCACAGGTTGATCAATCATTATTTAAATTTACACACTTTAGTTGAAAACATTCAAATATCAAATTCCTTATTGTAATTTATTCATTTGTATATATATATATATATATATATATATATATATATATATATATATATATATATATATATATATATATATATATATATATATATATATATATATATATATATATATATATATATATATATATATATATATATATATATATATATATATATATATATTTATTTATATATATATATATATATATATATATATATATATATATATATATATATATATTTATATATATATATATATATAAATANATNTATATATAAATANAAANANATATATTTATAAATATATATATTTATATATATATATAAAATTATATATANAAATATAAATATTTATATTATATTATATATTTATATAATTATATATATAAATAATTATATTTATAATAATTTAAATAATATAAATATATATTTTTATATTTATATAAATTATATATATTTAATTATTANATTTATTTTTAATAAATTAAATATANATTATATANATATTTAATTTATATATAAATTATTTTATATAAATTTAATATATNAATAAATTATTTATATAATTTATTTAATAAATTTTTAAATATAAAANATTTTAATTTTATATTATATAATNAATAAATTATATATTTATATAAATTTTAATTTTTTTTAATTAATAAAATATATTTTATTAATAAAAATTTTNTTTAATAATTTAATTTTTTAATATATTATTATATTTTAAATANNATTAAANTTTAAATTTATATANATNATNTAATTTTATTAATTTNAAATTAAATTATATAATATATAANNTATTTTTTAAAAAATTATTTTTNTAAAAATATTTTAAAAAAAAAATTTNATTTAAAATATTTAAANTANANAAATTAANATTTTA